TGAGACTGAACCTGCTTCAGGCTCTGCGCTGACAGCACAGAACCTGCTTGGGATTCCCTGTCTCCCTCTCTCTCTCTGCCCCTCCCCTACTCTCTCTCTCTCTCAAAAGAAATAAACATTAAAAAAAATAAAAAAATAAAGTGGGGAGAATTAACAGTAACTACTTCATAGGTTTGCTGTAAAGATTAAAACGTTTAATATTAGTGATCCACTTTGAACAGTACTTGCCACATAGTCAGCATTATGTGTTTGTTAAATAAAACCTGATTTAACAAAGTATATTACTGTCCCAGAATATAATTAAATGAGCTCTGTGGTACAGTATTTCCATGCAAGATACATTTCAAAGAAATAGCTTTATTACAACTATATGAGAAATGAAAAACCTAACCACCCCCAAAAGACTAAATTTTAAAGATTATTTTGGAAGTTAAGATGACTCATGAGATATCACTATAAATTTACCTTAATACATCTCCCTTCCAGAAAGTATTTACAGATTTGTTTTCCTTTGTGTTCCACTGTGTGCTGATTAATGAATTCCTGAGTCATAACCTTCCATTTCTTCGCTGGTTTATTATACTGTGAGAAAAAAACAATTCATTTGAATACAACATACGAAATATTAAAGGTATTAAAATGGATAGTCAAATGGATTGAGAAAGCAGTATAATTACAACCTAAAGTGGCCAAGACTGGACATTCAGATGCTATCATTTATTTGGAGTTATGTTTCTAATACACTGCTTATTGCTACTAGTGGTTCAAATAACCCTATTTCTATTTTAATGAGGATGTACAGGGGCGCCTGGGTGGCGCAGTCGGTTAAGCGTCCGACTTCAGCCAGGTCACGATCTCGCGGTCCGTGAGTTCGAGCCCCGCATCAGGCTCTGGGCTGATGGCTCAGAGCCTGGAGCCTGTTTCTGATTCTGTGTCTCCCTCTCTCTCTGCCCCTCCCCCGTTCATGCTCTGTCTCTCTCTGTCCCAAAGATAAATAAACGTTGAAAAAAAAAAATTTTAATGAGGATGTACAACTACTTTTTAAAGATAAAAAGCTTGAAAATTAACAATAATACTCAGTGTTGGCAAAGGTATGATAAAGTGTGCACTCTCATATTATTCTTGATAGCTATGTTATAAAAGACTTATAATATCCATATTGTTAGACACAGAATTTGTACTTTCAAGGAGTATTCTGAGGGAATCATCAGGGAGGCACACATATATTTATTCACAAAAATAACTACTGCAGAATTACTTACATGACAAAACAACAAACAAACAAAAATCTAGAAATACCCTACACATCCCAGATAAGAAGACCAGTTAAATACCTATCACTGGTAGACTACTATGTAATCATTAAAAACTGATGAGATGGAGGGGCGCCTGTGTGGCTCAGTTGGTTAAGTGTCCGACATCAGCTCAGGTCATGGTCTCACAGTCTGTGAGTTCGAGCCTCACGTCAGGTTCTGTGCTGACAGCTCAGAGCCTGGAGCCTGCTTCAGATTCTGTGTCTCCCTCTCTCTCTGCCCCTCCCCTGCTCATGCTCTGTATCTCTCTGTCTCAAAAAATAAATAAAAACATTAAAAAAATTTTAAAACACTGATGAGATGGAGAGACAATTTGGGGACATAAGAAATGTTCATAGGGGTGTCTGGGTGGCTCAGTTGGTTAAGCGTCCCACTCTTAATGTCAGCTTGCATCATGGTATTGCTGTACATGGGATAGAGCCCTGCATTCTCTCTGCACTGGCAGCATGGAGCCTGCTTGGGATTCTCTCTCTCCCTCTTTCTCTCCCTCTTTCTCTGCCCCTTGTGCACTCTCGCTCTCTCTCTCTCAAAATTGATAGACATTTAAAAAAAGAAAGAAAGAAAATGCACATAATACTTTACTAAGTGAAAAATTGATCCCAATTTTATAATAAAAAAAGACTGAAGAATAAAAAAGAAAAAAGACTAAAAGAATATACCCCCACATTTAAGAGTATATGTCTCTAGGTGTACTCCTAAAAAAATTAGAAATTTTTTGAATTATTTTTGTACTTCCTTTAAGAAAAAGAGGAAGGATATATTTCCTTTAGCTTTTAAATTAAAAAACAAAACAAAACAGAAAGAAATGTATTGTAGAAAATCTCACAGCCCTACATGTTTCCTTAGTTCTCCTTTAACCCCTATTCAACTTTTTTTTTTTCCCTATTCAACTTTCGCTAGGAGTACAAGAAGATTGATTTGTTAACAAGAGTATGATGCTTAGCCATGCTAAGGACTTAAGATTCATGAGCTCTATAAAACAACACTATTTTTCAAACACCCGGTATGCACCATGCTTGGCATACAGTAGGAGCTCAATAGCTACTTGCTCTTATAATTTGATTTGTTTCCCTTTCCCTCAGTTTGCTGGAGATGGAGAACAAAACACAACCTACTGGAAATAGGAAATTTCCAGCAAACACTTGAGGCAAGAGATGGCTAGACTGAAATCTGATCCTCAGCACTTGCATTTGAAATATGCTTTACTGTAGGAATTCTTGGGGGGAAAAAAGTACAAAAATACCAAGAAAACAGAGAATCCTATAGGTTCTTTTAAAAAATATAAGCATAATCAAATTGCCCCAGGGAAACGCAATGAAATTGCTTATAATATACTATGATAGAACCATTTAAACTGTCTTAAATTTATGTAGATTTGACTCACAAACATTTTCTATTTCTAGGTTCACTTAGAACAAGTAGATATAAATGACCAGCTCATATATGCCTTCTCTACAAAGAATGGTGGCTATAATAAAATAGGAAGCCAAGGAGAATGCATTACACAAAATCAATGGGCCAGCTTGAAGAATATAACTCTGAAATTAAAAAGTAAAAAATTAGGTAATCACAAAAAAAAAAAACCACCCAAACACCCTGAAAAACACACCAAGTTGCACCTATATTTCATTAATAACTCATTCTATGTTACTTTCTAATGATATGCCTCATTGTTGTAATAGAGGATAGTGGTTTTTTCCGTTTTGTTTAGTTTGGTAAAAAAGTAGAAAGTATCTCAGTATCCATAACTGTGAGAAATCTAATTATAATCATGATATTCCAGAAAATCTAACTTTAACAATAAAATTTTAGGACAAAATAAAGTGCCTAGAAGATCTGATCTTTTACGTCTGAATCTACAGAAGCAACATGAATGTCCTCTACCCTTAAAGATCACTTGTAATGTAAGAGCTGGAAGAATCAGTCATCTAGTTCGGCACCCTCACTAGACAAGTATAGAAACTGAAGATTAGAGAAATTAGTGACTTGCCAAGGGTCATATGGTGAGTGAGCAGGCAGGTTAGATAGAACTCTCTGCACTGTATCACATTACCTCTAAGAAAACACAATTCAAGAAAAGAGGAAGAGAAAGGAAAAATGGAGGGAGAGAGAGAAAACTAAACTATCTACTTGGTTATTTTAAAATTTACTCTAGAAGATGTATTACACTGGTATAAGGAAAACATGCATAAAATATTTTTTAAATACATAAAGAAGAGGAAATGAAAGGATCTATCAGTAAAATAATATATGTTTACAGAAAATTTAACAGCTGTTATAAAGACAAAAAAATTTAGATGATTTATGGCTAACAGAATAAATAAGTCTTTCAAATCCATCAAAAATTTGCTTGTTCTGTGACTACCCTTGAGTTTTCAAGACTGTGTGAACATACAAGTATCTGTGAGTTTATCTGGCTTTAGGAAGATCTTACACTCCTTGGAAAGGATGGATCTATATTGGCCACTTTACCATGTTCACTCTATCCTGAATAGGTCTCCCCTAGACTACTCCCAAACATAAGCTACATGCTTGGGCTCTGGCACTCTCCTGGCTGTTTCTGGAATAAGAAGAAATCTCTCTTGACAGCCAATAAACTGAAACAGTTGATAACATTTTAACCTTAATAAACAAAAGGAAAAATATTCTAAATCTGATGAATGTAAAAGAAAGAATTTATTCTGATTTCTATACCATGATAAAGCATCTTTTAGTTGCAGTCCAGATCAGTAAACACCAAAATGTCAGTGCTTGGGGTGCCTGGGTGGCTCAGTCAGTTAAGCGTCTAACAATGGCTCAGGTCATCTCAAGGTTTGTGAGTTCAAGCCCTGGGTCAGGCCCCGTGCTCACAGCTCGGGCAGAGCCTGGGGCCTACTTCATATTCTGTGTCTCCCCTCTCTCTGCCCCTCCCCGCTCACGCTCTTGTCTCTCTCTCAAAAATAAACAAACACTGAAAAACAAAAAACATAAAAGAAGTTAATATGTCAGTGCTTGAAGGGCTCCTTAGAGTTAATTTAATTCCATACTTTCATTTTACAGATTAAGCAAATTGAAACTCAGAGACAGGTAGTAACTTGTTCAAAGCCACACTTTCTTGGAAGCTAATTTTTTTTTCCAGGTATAGCGTGTAGGTATTGGTTATAGGAGAAAACTTACTTTAGAAAGTATTCACATTAATTTAGTCTAGGGAAAGCAGCACATTCTAGGGGAGTCTAGGAAGATGGAGATAGACAGGTTATAATTACTCAGAAATTCCAAGCTTGTTTCCAAAGCTGCTATTCCATGCAACAGGGAGTGGTTCAATGAATGTTAACAAATGTGGGTGGGGTGAAGGAGTGAGTTCAGGGTTAAGTAAAATTTGAAAACAGTGGATTGAACAAAGTAAAACAGGATTTTTTATATCTAACTTGCAAGGAGCCTTTAATACATTAAAAAAAATTTTTTTAACATTTATTTATTTTTGAGACAGAGAGACAGAGCATGAATGGGGGAGGGGCAGAGAGAGAGGGAGACACAGAATCCAAAGCAGGCTCCAGGCTCTGAGCTGTCAGCACAGAGCCTGACGCGGGGTTAGAACTCATGGACCATGAGATCATGACCTGAGCCGAAGTCGGACGCTCAACCGACTGAGCCACCCAGGTGCCCCAAGGAGCCTTTAATACATTAATGTTAACTGAGAACATTAGTGGTAGAGTGGTATGTGTTGGGTTTCACTAATTTACCTGGGCCTGAACTTCTTTTTTTTTTAGCTCATACTTATTAACATCTCCCTTAATAGTGTACTAACGAATACATATTAAGAAATCTGTGCCCATTATCTTTAAACCCAGACATCAGAAAACCAAGCATTTTCAAATTACAATACATTGCTATCACTTTGTTCCCACTCAAGGTTGCAGCTTTTGATAATCTACCCTTGCTCTGTATAATTCAATCAATCTTACTGGAACAGTGACAGAATACAGAAATTGGGCCACTTTAATCCAGAGTTGCCAAAAGGCTGAAAATGTACATGTTCAGAGTTCAATTCAACACATATTTATTCAATATCTACCAAACACAAGGTACACAAATTCATCTTTCCAACCATTTGTATCTCTTTTTCCTCTCTTTCAATGCTTTCAGTTTTACTAAGTTAATTTATCACTACAGTGTCTCCCTTCTTATCAGCCCTGCTACATATTAAGCTATTAGCATTTTAGTTCCATTTGCATCTGGGGAAAATGACTCCTAGGAAAGGAAAATACAGCAGAGAACTAATCGACCATACATTTTTGTTTTCTGACATACCAATTTTATTTTAAGGTGCTTTCAAACACATCCATTTTATTTCAAGGTGACCTAAATTTGCATCTCTATACTTGTATCATGACTATTAAAACAATTCTTTAATTATTTTTTTAAGAATCTGTTTATACTCATTTGATCTTAGCCAGAGAATTTTCATTTACTAGGAAAGTAGCATTACAATCACAGTGATTTCTCTGCAGCCAAATAGATTAAAACTAGTACCTCTTGAAAGTCATCCATTCCTGAAAAAATATTAGGCCCTTTATTGGTTCTTCCCCCACGGTCTTTGCGTTTGATTTTCTTCGGCAAACCACGTCCACGACCAACATTAAAACTTTTAACCCTCTGTTCAATACCTAAAAGAGTTAAAATGTACTTCAAATATTACAGAAAAACAACGCAACTGTCAATCTATTAGCTTATAAGGAACAGCATATTTTAAATAGTATATAATATACAGTGCATTCTTTTTCTTTCTCTCTAGATTCAATGAAAAATATTAATTAAGTTTTTCCATTTTACTTTCTGGGTATTGCTTTTCATTTTTTTCTTTTTAAGGGATGTTAATGATAATAAGAAAGCAAGGCACAAGAATACACATGACTAGAGAAGTTAAATCTAGTTTTGTTCTTTTTAATTTTCCTTAGAATAAGAAAACAGTTTTTCAGAGAATTAAACATTATATTCATCCCTAAGGAAGACATTATAGATATTAGCGATTAACTTGACCAAATTGAGTTTCTAGTGATAATTTTGAATAGATATCACATATATTTCCAAGTAAAATTTATACTTGTCTTACTTTTTAAAAACTTGGTATTAAAAGTATCTAAAATTACCAAAATTAAATATTAGGATAGAATACAGAGTATTTCTCATTTTACCAAAGTCCCAAAGAACTAATATATTTTCTTACGTATTACGTGATCTTAAACCTACAAAACAGCAAATAAATATATGAAAAAATGTTTTTACCAAAAAGAGTCAAAGAAATTAAAAATTTTAAATAACATCAATTTTCACCTTTTCAAAGAATAGGGTTGGTAGGGATTTGGAGAAATTGGCATTTTCACACACTGGCATGCTGTTAAAAAATTGGTCTATCAACTTTTTGTAAATCAACCTTGGTATGTGGATTAAAATTCTTCAAATGCGTGGCTATATCTTTTGACTCAATTCTGCATTTCAGAATTTATTCTTAAAAAGTATTTGTGAAGATGTTCTCTGAGACATGTATAAATATGCATGGTTAATCACAGAATTAAAAAAAAAAAAAAACCTGGGTGCAACTTAAATGTTAAGTAGCACTTAAATCTCAAGTGGTTACTGTTACACAAACCTAAGACTCTGTTAAACAAGTTATCGTATATCTATTTAATTGAATAGAATGCAGACATTAAAAGCTACTTGTTAGCGGAAGAATGAGATATACTTCATAGTTAAGGGAAAAAACAAGTTAAACAGCATGCATAATTTTTTGTTAAAAATAACTGTCAGAAAGATTCTGGAAGAATGTACACCAAATATACTAATAGTCACTGTTTTTGGATGTAGGGATTCAAATTGCTTTTGTTTTATCTTTGATCTTTGTTGGGTTATTGTTTCCACACACAGAAAAGGTTTTCTGCATTTGGCCATGTATTACTTTCATATTTCAGGGGGAGGAAATGAATGTCAAAAATAAAAGAATACTCAATTCTTTAACAGAGCAAACAGGAAGAACTTGAAAGGGAAAACCCCAGGTGGGAATGGATGAGCGAAACCTCTCTATGTTCCCTTATTCCCCAAGTGGAATGATTCCTGACACCACTATGTCTAGACTTCAGGAACAAACTTACTAATTACAATAGCATATGCACAGGCAAATTCTTTTCCTTTTTAGGTCAGCAAAGCCTGGATACATATTTTTCAAAGGAATTTTGCTAGGAAATCAAGAAAAAATAAAGTCATAAAAATTACCACATTTACTCTTAACTCATTCCTTTTTTCAACAATAATTAAAGTATAGTAACATAGGGTTTGGGTGCTCACTGCTTGACTTCAGCCTCATCTTACTCCAGTTTTCATGAAGCAGATATTGAGTGGACAGTTCTTAAGGTTGATCTGACCCTTATGTGACCCACAGTTTCTATGGCAACTTGCCATGCTCTCTCCAGGCACCATGTGCCTCAATACAGCAGATGAATTGATGATCACTCCAGAAATTTCTTTAGTTTATGTTCTTATTTCCAATCTTGAAGAATATCCATAATCCTAAGTATTAGTACATTTGCACAGCAAAGATGATCACCATCTTTTAAAGTCTAATAAGGGGCGCCTGGATGGCGCAGTCGGTTAAGCGGCTGACTTCAGCTCAGGTCACGATCTCGCGGTCCGTGAGTTCGAGCCCCGCGTCGGGCTTTGTGCTGACAGCTCAGAGCCTGGAGCCCGTTTCGGATTCTGTGTCTCCCTCTCTCTGACCCTCCCCCATTCATGCTCTGTCTCTCTCTGCCTCAAAAATAAATAAATGTTAAAAAATAAATAAATAAATAAAGTCTAAAAGAAGAATAGCTTCTTAGAATTCTCTCCTTACAGGTCTAAAATATAAAGCAATGCATAGAGTAACAGAAACAACTGAAAAAGGTAGGCTATTTTTTCAGTAAACTGGTATTATACAAGGAAAGGGAAAAAAAGTAATGGGAAAATTGTTTTACATTTTTATATACTTTTAAAATATTAGGGTATCTTTCTAACTCAAATATTAAAATACTATGCAGATTAAAATATTTGTAGATGTTTGTCCTCAAAATCTAAAATTAAAGAAAAAAGAATTCGGGAACCACAGGAATAAGCCGATCTTGAGAAGGGACTAAGAAATTTAAGTTTTTACTCCATTGCTACCTGCTGTAATAAGGTTCCCATATTAAAACACAGCCCGACAATTTCACACTTACCTTGCTGAACTTTCATTCTTTGTTTTTTCCCTGGTTCTTTAGAAAATGATCCTAAAGCAGTCGTTGAGGTTTCTTTAGCTTGTCTGTATTGTTTCAGCTGACTGGCAAAATCTTCCTCTGTTTCCTGACTGTAGGTACCAAAGTTGTCATCACTGTAGGTACTGTACTCATCATATTCTTTACTTCTAAATTTTTTGTTATGTTGACTCTTCTTTGATGTCATGTAGCTTCCTGATAAATGTCCATGCTAAGTGAAAATAGACAATAGTTATCAGGATTTTTCAGCTATATAAATGAATTGATAGTAACACAGGACATCTTTTTTCCCCCCAGAAATCTGGAGAAAAAAAGGGGAAAGACAATTATAGTTCTGACTCTTGGCTAGTACTTGTCTATGACAGTATTTAAAACTAAGTTCAAAAAGCCAAGTGCTACTCTGGTATTATCAAACATTATAATTAATGTTCACAGATCCTTGCTAATGAGTGTGTTTTGTTCCCTTTTTGTTTTCCATGTCCGGTGTCTCCGTATTTGTACACAAAAGTATACTTAAAAATCCACACCATTATACATGAATTCCTTCTCTAAAAAGTTGAAAACATCTTTTGGAAAATATATGGGTACCTGGGTGGCTCAATAGGTTGGGTGTCTGACTCTCGATTTTCGGTCAGGTCATCATCTCACGGTTCGTGGGATAGAGTCCTGTGTCAGGCTCTGCACTGGCAGTGTGTGGAGCCTGCTTGGGATTCTATCTCTCCCTCTCTCTCTCTGCCCCTCCCCTGCTCACATGTGTCCTCCTCTCTCTTTCAGAATAAATGAACTCAAAAAAAAAAAAAGAAAATAAGGAAAATATAGTAAAATAGCTTGAGGTGGGAGAAAATATATATTCTCCTAACACTGTCCCAAATGACAAGTTTAAGCATCTTATACTTAACAAAAAAACTGTATGTGTGGAAATTTTAGAAAAAGAATATTCTTATTTCTGAGGTCTAACAAGGATTTCTCTAAAACTTAAAAACATCTAGTGAATAAACTGCTGTTGGAAACTATTTACTATACTATACATGATTAATTTTATTAGTAATTTATTTTAATAAAAGCATATGAAAAATAAGAATACATTTTAGTCCTATAGTTTTATTTAATGGTAGTATTCAATTCTACCTCTATTCACTAAAATACTTTTTATTAGTTCTATCGTATCTTCTGTCAATCTTTTAAAAGAAAGGAAGAAAAGATGCACGTAATTGCAATTTGAGGATCTAGCAAAAACCGAGGCCATGATTCATCTCCAGCTTAGCACATTTAAAATATAATGCAAAAATACTGCCTACCCTGGCAGATTACCAACATGAGAATATGTGTTTTTAATAAAACGTAGAGAAATATTAAGATCTCTTCAGTAATTATAAAATAGAAAAAAAATAGTTAACTAAAAATATCAAATCAATTAGCTCATCAATTTTAAATTTTGAAGACATTGTATTAGATTTCTGATTTGTTTTAAGTAGTATTTTTAAAATTTATAAAAAATTTATAAACTGGTCTCATTTAGCACTTCAGAAATTCAGAAGGGGATTAAGAATTGCAGCCAAGGGGCGCCTGGGTGGCTCGGTCGGTTAAGCGTCCGACTTTGGCTCAGGTCATGATCTCACGGTCCGTGAGTTCGAGCCCCGCGTCGGGCTCTGTGCTGACAGCTCAGAGCCTGAAGCCTGTTTCAGATTCTGTGTCTCCCTCTCTCTCTGCCCCTCCCCTGTTCATGCTCTGTCTCTCTCTGTCTCAAAAATAAATAAATGTTAAAAAAAAAAATTAAAGGGGCGCCTGTGTGGCGCAGTCGGTTAAGCGTCCGACTTCAGCCAGGTCACGATCTCGCGGTCCGTGAGTTCGAGCCCCGCGTCAGGCTCTGGGCTGATGGCTCAGAGCCTGGAGCCTGTTTCCGATTCTGTGTCTCCCTCTCTCTCTGCCCCTCCCCCGTTCATGCTCTGTCTCTCTCTGTCCCCAAAAATAAATAAACGTTGAAAAAAAAAAATTAAAAAAGAAAAGAATTGCAGCCAAAGGGCAGGGTTTCTCAAATTTTTTATAAAAGTACTATGAAAATAATTGTTTAGATTAAGTTGAAGATTAATTTTTAGTTGAGCAGTGCTTATTTTTCCTTTTATTAAAAAATGTGATTCTATGACATACCAGACCAAATGGATTTCATAGATATATTCAGAACATTTTATCCTGAAACAGAATATACATTCTTTTTAAATGCACACAGAGCACTCTCCAGAATAGATCACATATAAGCCACAAAACAAATCTCAACAAATTAAAAAAGATCAATGTGTCTTTTCTGACCACAAGACAATAAAACTAGAAATCAATCACAAGAAAACCTCTGGAAAGATCACAAATACCTAGAGGTTAAATAACATGCTACTAAACAATGAACAGGTTAACCAAGAAATCAAAGAAATAATAATAAAAAAAAAACATAGAGACAATTGAAAATGAAAACACAATAGTCCAAAATCTTTGGGAGGCAGCAAAAGTGGTTCTAAGAGGGAAGTTTACAGCAATACAGGCTTACCTCAAGAAACAAGAAAAATCTCAGTAACCTAACCTTATGCCTCAAGAAGTTAGAAAAGGAAGAACAAATAAAATCTAAAACCAGCAGAAAGAAGGAAATAATAAAGATAAGGGAATAAGTGATATAGAAACTAAAAAACAACATATCAATGAAACCAGGGGCTGGTTCTTTGAAAAGCTAACAAAATTGATTAAATCTCTGGTCACTCATTTAAAAAAAAAAAAAAGAGTACTCTCATAAACAAAATCAGAAACAGAAGAGGAGAAATAACAACCAACACCACAGAAACACAAACGACTGTAAGAGAATATTGTGAAAAATACATCAACAAACTAGACAACCTAGAAGAAATGGATTAATTCCTGGAAACATAGAACCTAACAAAACAATCAGGAGGAAACAGAAAATTGGGACAGATTATTAGCAATGAAATTGATTCAGTAATCAAAAAACTCCCAATAAACAAAAGTCCAGGGCCCAGATGGATTCACAGGTGAATTCTACCAAACGTTCAAGGAAGAGTTAACACAACAGCCAAAGTATGGAAAGAGCCCAAATGTCCATCGATGGATGAATGGCTAAAGAAGATGTGGTATATATATACAATGGAGTATTACTCGGCAGTCAGAAAAAATGAAATCTTGCCATTTGCAACTATGTGGATGGAACTAGAGGGTATTATTGCTAAGCGAAATTAGTCAGGCAGAGAAAGACAATTATCATATGACTTCACTCATATGAGGACTTTAAGACACAGAACAGGGGCCCCTGGGTGGCTCAGTCGACTGGGCCTCCGACTTCGGCTCAAGTCATGATCTTGTGGTTTATGGGTTTGAGCCGCACATCGGGCTCTCGGCTGACAGCTCAGAGCCTGGAGCCTGCTTCAGTTTCTGTGTCTCCCTCTCTCTCTGCCCCTCCCCCCTCACGCTCTGTCTCTGTCTCCTTCAAAAATAAATAAACATAAAAAAAAATTCAAGACACAGAACAGATGAACACAAGGGAAGGGAAGCAAAAATAATGTAAAAACAGGGAGGGGAACAAAACATAAGAGACTCTTAAATATGGAGAACAAACAGAGGGTTACTGTTTGTGGAAGGGGGGATGGGCTAAATGGGTAAGGGGCATTAAGGAATCTACTCCTGAAATCATTGTTGCACTATATGCTAACTAACTTGGATATAAATTAAAAAACTAAAATTAAAATTAAAAAAAATAAAATAAATTAGAGTAATACCTACTCCTCTCAAACATCTCCAAAAAACAAAAGAGGAAAGAAAACTTCCAAATTCATTGTATGAGGCCAGCATTACCCTGCTTCTAAAACCAGATAAAGACACAACCAAAAGAGAACCACAGGTATCTCTGATAAACACAGATGCAAAAATCCTCAATAAAATCTTAGCAAACTGAATTCAACAATATGTTAAAAAAATCATTCATCACATTCAAGAGGGATTTATTCTTAGGATGCAAGGGTAGTTCAATATTCATAAATCAATCAACATGATACATCACATCAGTAAGAGAAAGGAAAAAAATGATCATTTCAATAGATGCAGGAAAAGCATTTGACATAAATACAATATCCATTCACGAAAAAATTCCTCAACAAAGCAGGTTTACAAGGAACATACCTTAACATAATAAAGTACTTATATGAAAACCCAACAGCGAACATATTCAATGGGGAAAAACAGAGCTTTTCTGCTAAGGTCAGGAACGAGACAAGGATATCCACTCTCATCTCTTTTATTCAACATAGCACTGGAAGTCCTAGCCACAGCAATCAGACAAGAGAAAGGAATAAAAGGTATCTAAATTCGTAGGGAAGGAGTAAAACATTCACTATTTGCATATGACACAGTACTATATAGAAAACCCTAAAGACCACTAAAAAACTACTAGAACTGATAAGTGAATTCAGTAAGGTCATGGATACAAAATCAATGTACAAAAAGCATTGCATTTCTATACACTAATGAAGCAGCAGAAAGAGAAATTAAGAAAACAATCCCATTTATAGTTGCACCAAAAATAATAAAATATCTAGGAATAAACTTAACCAAAGGGGTGAAAGATCTGTACTCTGAAAACTATAAAACACTGATAAAAGAAACTGAAGATGACACAAGCAAATGGAAAGACATTCCATGCTCATGGACTGGAAGAACAAATATTGTTAAAATGTCTATATTACCCAAGGCAACCTACACATTTAATACAATCCCTATCAAAATACCAACAGCATTTTTTACAGAACTAGAACAATCCTAAAATCTGTATGGAACCACAAAGAACTCAAATAGGCCAAAGAAATCTTGAAAAAGAAAAACAAAACTGGAGGGGTGCCTGGGTGGCTCAGTCAGTTGAGTGAGCAACTCTTTGGCTCTGGTCATGATCCCAGGGTCGTGGGATCAAGCCCAGTGTCAGGCTCCGCACTGAGGATGGAGCCTGTTTGAAATTCTCTCCCTCCTCTTCTGTCCCTCTCCCACTGTTTCTCTCTCTCTCTCTGAAAAATAATTTTAAAAAAAGAAAAACAAAACTGGAGGGATCACAATTCTAGACTTCAGCTTATATTACTAAGAAAGCTGTAGTAATCAAAACAGTATGGAACCAGCACAAAGGTAGACACATAGATCAATAAACAAAACAGAAAGCCCAAAAAATAAGCC